GGCGCTACGGGCAGGAGGGGCGCTACGGGGCCCAGGAGGGGCGACGGGCCCAGGAGGGGCGCGACGGGGCCTGGGAGGGGCGCGACGAGGCCCAGGGGGGGGCACTACGGGGCCCAGGAGGGGCGCGACGGAACCCAGGAGGGGCGCTACGGGGCCCAGGAGGGGCGCGACGGGGCCTGGGAGGGGCGCGACTGAGCCCAGGAGGGGCGCTACAGGGCCCAGGAAGGGCGCGACGGGGCCCAGGAGGGGCGCTACGGGGCCCAGGAGGGGCGCTACGGGGCCTAGGAGGGGCGCGACGGGGCCTGGGAGGGGCGCTACAGGGCCCAGGAAGGGCGCGACGGGGCCCAGGAGGTGCGCTACGGGGCCTAGGAGGGGCGCGACGGGGCCCAGGAGGGGCGTGACGGGGCCTGGGAGGGGCGCGACGGGGCCTAGGAGGGGCGCTACAGGGCCCAGGAAGGGGTGCGACGGGGCCCAGGAAGGGGCGCGACGGGGCTAGGGGGGTCGCGACGGGGCTAGGGGCACGACGGGGCTAGGAGGGGCGAGCGGAAGCGGTAGGTGGGGGGGGGGATCCTAACCTACGCGTGATACCACATCAGAAACAGAGAAGTGTTATTGAGAGAGTGAGAGTACACACAGATATACCTAAGTCTTGTACCCTCTAAGAGGTGACCCTATACAGTCTATACAAACATGACAAATACACATGTTTGACACCCTCTAAGAGCATGCACCTATCTAGCCTATTATAACATATACAAATATGTTTAATACTCCAATCCCACCCAACACACTGATAATGATAACCCACAAACACCGCCACCGCTTTCTGAAATCAGAATCAATCAACTCTACCATTCCATGATGACAAGAAGAGCCGAGCCGAGCCATCATCACTCACACGCCAAACAACCATGGCCCACAGAAAGGGACTGGTATCCGTGCAAATTCGAATGGCGTACGCTATTTCAAGGCGAGAGTGTCTGTATCTAGCCCTCATGCGCATCCCATCCCATGTCTGTAATGTCAGAAGCACAGTTGCTAACCACTGTGCTAAAAGGGCTTGTTAAGTAGTGGGATAGCGCGCCCATAACCCCCCAGACATAGAGGCTTGTAGCCCTTCCCCGAGAATCTCCAGGGCAACCCCAATGGGTTACTCGACATGTAAACCATGCCCATGCCCATGCCCATGCCCATGCCCATGCCCATGCCCATGCCCATGCCCATGCCCATGCCCATGCCCATGCCCATGCCCATGCCCATGCCCATGCCCATGCCCATGCCCATGCCCATGCCCATGCCCATGCCCATGCCCATGCCCATGCCCATGCCCATGCCCATGCCCATGCCCATGCCCATGCCCATGCCCATGCCCATCCCCATGCCCATGCCCATGCCCATGCCCATGCCCATGCCCATGCCCATGCCCATGCCCATGCCCATGCCCATGCCCATGCCCATGCCCATGCCCATGCCCATGCCCCATGCCCATGCCCATGCCCATGCCCATGCCCATGCCCATGCCCCATGCCCCATGCCCATGCCCATGCCCATGCCCATGCCCATGCCCCATGCCCATGCCCATGCCCATGCCAGCCCCATGCCCCATGCCCATGCCCATGCCCATGCCCATGCCCATGCCCATGCCCATGCCCATGCCCATGCCCATGACCATGCCCATGCCCCATGCCCATGCCCATGCCCATGCCCCATGCCCATGGCCCATGCCCATGCTCCTCCTCATGCGGTCTGCACGAGGCTCTCCCTGGTGGCCCCATCCTGCTGCTGGCTGTCCAGCGGCATGTACTGCGCCATGATGGTGCGGATCTCCGAGTCCATGTACGCCTGGGCACCCACACATGTATGCACACACAGACAGAGGCCACGAGTGGAAGAAAGGAGGCAAGGATGTGTATTGCGGAACATGTGAACCGCGCCATGATGGTGAGCATGCCCAGCATTATGTAGTGGTGCGCCATGATGGTGAGCATGCCCAGCATTATGCAGTGGTGCGCCATGATGGTGAGCATGCCCAGCATTATGTAGTGGTGCGCCGTGATGGTGAGCATGCCCAGCATTATGTAGTGGTGCGCCATTATGGTGAGCATGCCCAGCATTATGCAGTGGTGCGCCATGATGGTGAGCATGCCCAGCATTATGTAGTGGTGCGCCATGATGGTGAGCATGCCCAGCATTATGCAGTGGTGCGCCATGATGGTGAGCATGCCCAGCATTATGTAGTGGTGCGCCATGATGGTGAGCATGCCCAGCATTATGTAGTGGTGCGCCATGATGGTGAGCATGCCCAGCATTATGTAGTGGTGCGCCGCCATGATGGTGAGCATGCGCAGCAGCATGTAGTGGTGCGCAGCTTTGGGGCACCTGTATACCTGCACCTGAACGTCCTTGACTCCCATTGACTCGCGTTGACTCACCCTCAGGCGGTACTTGTAGATGCCGAAGCTGATGAGAGCAGCGAGGATGAGAGCAGCCACCACGATGGCGAACACCTTGCCAAACATGTGCGACGTGAAGCCGCCGTCTGGGAGGGGGGCGGGGGGAGGGGGGGTGGTAGGGCGAGGGGAGGGAAGGGGGGAGAAAAGGAAGATGAGAGCAGCCACCACAATGGCAAACACGATGCCAAACATGTGCGACGTGAAGCCGCCGACTGGAGGAAGGAGGGGAGGCGGGAGAGGGAGGGGGAAGAAAGTAAAGCACAAGGATCCTCGAGCCACCACGATGGCCAAGAATTTACCAGACGCATGTGACGTGAAGCCGCCGCCTGGAGGGAGGGAGAGGGGAAAAGGGGGGGGGGGGCAGAGAGAGGGTTTAGAGGGTGTGACGCGTCACGCGTGTGCCACGATCGCAAAGACCTTGCGAGAGAGCGATACGAAGGAGTGACTAGGGTGCCAAACCACCACAAGTGCGAGGTGGGAGAGGGGTAGAGGGAGGGGTTAGAAAGAAGAGCTTTAGAGGCGCCTTTGTGCCTCAAGGCACCACGATGGCAAACACGTGTGAGGTGAAGGCACTCACAAAGGAAGCCACAGTGCCACAATCACTGAAGCTACACAGCTAGCAGCCACACTTACTTATGCAGGTGTCGAGTCGCGCATATACACAAGCCCGCCAGCGCAGGAGCAGTCAAAGGAGCCAAAGGTGTTGGACCCGTGGCAGTCGGGGCACTTGCACACCATAGAGTCTGGAGAGGTGAGCTTTGAGTCGACTCAAGAGCCACACACAGCCACACACACACTCTGTCTCTCTCCCCGCCTCTCTCTCACTAGCATCACCCACATGAAAACACGCACACCTGCTATCTCTACTTTTCACAAACGCAGCCACACTCACTGAAACAGGCGTCCGTGCCACTCACAGAAACGGGCGTCTGAGCCACTCACTGATACAGGCGTCTGAGTCGCGCATATAGACGAGCCCCCCAGCGCAGGAACAATCAAAAGAGCCGAAGGTGTTGGAGCAGTGGCAGTCGGGGCACTTGCACACCGGGGAGTCTGCCGCACACTCGTCCCTATCCACACATGTGTAGCCGTCTCCTGTGAACCCAGGCGGGCAGCTGCAGCCTGTGCCAAACATAGACGTGTCCTGGGAAGGGGGGTGGGAGGTGTTTGGAAGGAAGAGGGGTTAGGGAGGGGGGGCAGTGGCAGTCGAAGGAGCCAAAGGTGTTGGAGCATTGGCAGTCGGGGCACTTGCACACCGGAGAGTCTGCCGCGCACTCGTCCCTATCCACACATGTGTACCCGTCTCCTGTGAACCCATGCGGGCAGCTGCAGCCCGTGCCAAACATAGACGTGTCCTGGGGAGGGGGGAGAGGGGAGGGGAGAGGGGATGGAAGGAGGGGAGAGGGGAGAGAGACAAGGGTGGAATTCGTGGTATGCATGCGGTTGGGCATAGAGCACTCATCAGTGGCATGCACACGTGTATCCGTCTCCCGTGAACCCAGGCGGGCAGCTGCAGCCTCATCACAAGCCCTCACATCATCCCATCCACACTCACATCATCCCATCCGCACTCACATCATCCCATCCGCACTCACATCGCAGGCGGAGAAGGTCTGGCCGCTGTGCTCCGCGTTCCAGCACCCCCCGTGGTTCACCCGGCAGCGCCCCACGCCTTGGGCTGGGGGGAACACGGGCAGGAGAGGGGAGGGGGGGGGGAGCGAGTGGGGTAAGAGGTGAGAGCTGACAGGAGGGAGGGGGGGTGCGAGCTGACAGGAGGGAGGGGGGGTGCGAGCTGAAAGGAGGGAGGGGAGGTGCTAGCTGAGAGGAGGGAGGGGAGGAGCTAGCTGAGAGGAGGGAGGGGAGGTGCGAGGTGAGAGGAGGGAGAGATGGGTGAGGGGGAATGTTGAGAATGTGTAGCCCCTATGCTCCGCATTCCAGCACTCCCTGCCGTTCACCTGACAGTGACCCCCCCCCCCCCCGCCGCCCCCCTCTTGGGCTGGGGAGGCACGTGCAGGCAGGGTCAGAGGAACCCGATTTGAGAGGCTATTGCGTGTGTGGTCTGGACAGAGGGTGGCAGTTGCGTTGCTGACAAGGCAATGGAACTAGTGAAAACCCGATGGGTTGTTGACAAGGCAAGGAGACAGCAGGTTAAGATAAAGGCGGCTGACTTGCGACTTACTGCAGGAACAGACTCTCATAACACTCCCTGTAGCAGATAACACTCACAACCGCATTAACTGTTCAGCTGGTAACACTCACAACCGCATTCACTGTAGCAGCTGGTAACACTCCCCGGCACAATTACTGTGTCAGCTGGTAACACTCATGGGCACAATTACTGTGTCAGCTGGTAACACTCACGGGCACAATTACTGTGTCAGCTGGTAACACTCACGGGCACAATTACTGTGTCAGCTGGTAACACTCACGGGCACAATTACTGTGTCAGCTGGTAACACTCATGGGCAAAATTACTCTGTCAGCTGGTAACACTCACGGGCACAATTACTGTGTCAGCTGGTAACACTCATGGGCACAATTACTGTGTCAGCAGGTAACACTCATGGGCACAATTACTGTAGCTGCTGATAACACTCACGGGCGCACTTGCCGTAGCCGTCCCCCACGAAGTTGACCCCTGAGACAGGATCGCTGGGGCACTGGCACACCCGGCCCCGAAAGGTGTCCTGAGGGGAGGGGTGAGGATAGAGGGGTGCAGGTGCACGAGCAGGGGAGGCAGACAGGTGTGCTGTGGTGGGACAATTGTGGGACGAAACACCGACCATGCGACAGGATCGCTGGGACACTGGCACACCCTGAACAGAGAGGTGCGAGAGGTGCGAATACTGTATCATGCTCTGCTCCTCACCTGAAGCCCTGCCCTCCTCACCTGAAGCCCTGCCCTCCTCACCTGAAGCTCTGCCCTCCTCACCTGAAGCCCTGCCCTCCTCACCTGAAGCTCTGCCCTCCTCCTCATCTGAGGCGCTGCTGCTCATTGCATCTTCAACCAGACACTGATCTTGCAAGCGGCCACATTGAGGTGGCTTTTGAGTCGACTCAAAAGTCACCTCACCGCACCTTCCACCAGACACTGCTCTTGCAAGCGGCCCCATTGAAGCCCAGCCTAAGTCAACTCTAACGTCGACTCGTTACAATGTCACACGGAGCTTTCGAATCGACCCAAGATGCACTGACCTTGCAGGCCGTCACATTGAAGCCCGACCAGCAGCCGCCATTGTTAGTCGCGCACTCGTTCGTCTGCACATCTGGCAGGCAGCAGCAGCCAGCAGAGAGCGGAGAGCGGAGAGCGGAGAGCGGAGAGCCGAGAGCCGAGAGCCGAGAGCAGAGAGCAGAGAGCAGAGAGCATAGAGCAGAGAGCAGAGAGCAGAGCAGAGAGCAGAGAGCAGAGAGCAGAGAGCAGAGAGCAGAGAGCAGAGAGCAGAGAGCAGACAGTAACAAGGCGAGAACATAAGTCAGACAGATTGTGGTCAGAACGTCTTTCACCACAGCAGCACACAGGCATGCAGAAGTCTGAATCCAACACACATACACAGACGAGAGCACGTGCCCGCCAGTGAGGGGGGCACGAGAGTGTTGTAAAAGTCGATCTGTTTGGAGACGCCTCAAAAGAATACATATTTTGAGACGTCTCAATACTCTCTCTCACGTGGTGGCCCAGATCAAAGGCGATGGGACTTTTGAGCCGCCTCACAAGTCAATACTCTCACGTGGTGGCCCAAATCAAAGGCAACGAGAGGAACGTCAATCATTCTGGCATCAGCGAGAATCACTCCAGTGGAGGGGACGATGGCAGGCACACCAAACCGCAGCCACAACCACAACCACCACGCCAACCACCACGCCAACCACCACGCCATGCAATCCAACAGCTGTGACAGCAGCTGTCAGCCCAGGGACTCCAGACTCCAGAGCCCTCTCATGCAGCCTACCCCGCCCCCCACCTGCCCTCTGCCCCGCCCCCGACCTGCCCTCTGCTCTGCCCCGCCCCCGACCTGCCCCCTGCCTTCTTATCTGCATGAACACTACGGCCTATATTGCGCCGAGACCACCTCAGACCCCGAGCACACGGCGTCTTCTCACCTGCGCCCAGGCACACCGCCGGCTCTGTGGCTTCCTCAAATCCCGAGCACACGGCGTCTTCTCACCTGCGCCCAGGCACACCGCCGGCTCTGTGGCTTCCTCAAATCCCGAGCACACGGCGTCTTCTCACCTGCGCCCAGGCACACCGCCGGCTCTGTGGCTTCCTCAAATCCCGAGCACACGGCGTCTTCTCACCTGCGCCCAGGCACACCGCCGGCTCTGTGGCTTCCTCAAATCCCGAGCACACGGCGTCTTCTCACCTGCGCCCAGGCACACCGCCGGCTCTGTGGCTTCCTCAAATCCCGAGCACACGGCGTCTTCTCACCTGCGCCCAGGCACACCGCCGGCTCTGTGGCTTCCTCAAATCCCGAGCACACGGCGTCTTCTCACCTGCGCCCAGGCACACCGCCGGCTCTGTGGCTTCCTCAAATCCCGAGCACACGGCGTCTTCTCACCTGCGCCCAGGCACACCGCCGGCTCTGTGGCTTCCTCAAATCCCGAGCACACGGCGTCTTCTCACCTGCGCCCAGGCACACCGCCGGCTCTGTGGCTTCCTCAAATCCCGAGCACACGGCGTCTTCTCACCTGCGCCCAGGCACACCGCCGGCTCTGTGGCTTCCTCAAATCCCGAGCACACGGCGTCTTCTCACCTGCGCCCAGGCACACCGCCGGCTCTGTGGCTTCCTCAAATCCCGAGCACACGGCGTCTTCTCACCTGCGCCCAGGCACACCGCCGGCTCTGTGGCTTCCTCAAATCCCGAGCACACGGCGTCTTCTCACCTGCGCCCAGGCACACCGCCGGCTCTGTGGCTTCCTCAAATCCCGAGCACACGGCGTCTTCTCACCTGCGCCCAGGCACACCGCCGGCTCTGTGGCTTCCTCAAATCCCGAGCACACGGCGTCTTCTCACCTGCGCCCAGGCACACCGCCGGCTCTGTGGCTTCCTCAAATCCCGAGCACACGGCGTCTTCTCACCTGCGCCCAGGCACACCGCCGGCTCTGTGGCTTCCTCAAATCCCGAGCACACGGCGTCTTCTCACCTGCGCGCAGGCACACCGCCGGCTCTGTGGCTTCCTCAAATCCCGAGCACACGGCGTCTTCTCACCTGCGCCCAGGCACACCGCCGGCTCTGTGGCTTCCTCAAATCCCGAGCACACGGCGTCTTCTCACCTGCGCCCAGGCACACCGCCGGCTCTGTGGCTTCCTCAAATCCCGAGCACACGGCGTCTTCTCACCTGCGCCCAGGCACACCGCCGGCTCTGTGGCTTCCTCAAATCCCGAGCACACGGCGTCTTCTCACCTGCGCCCAGGCACACCGCCGGCTCTGTGGCTTCCTCAAATCCCGAGCACACGGCGTCTTCTCACCTGCGCCCAGGCACACCGCCGGCTCTGTGGCTTCCTCAAATCCCGAGCACACGGCGTCTTCTCACCTGCGCCCAGGCACACCGCCGGCTCTGTGGCTTCCTCAAATCCCGAGCACACGGCGTCTTCTCACCTGCGCCCAGGCACACCGCCGGCTCTGTGGCTTCCTCAAATCCCGAGCACACGGCGTCTTCTCACCTGCGCCCAGGCACACCGCCGGCTCTGTGGCTTCCTCAAATCCCGAGCACACGGCGTCTTCTCACCTGCGCCCAGGCACACCGCCGGCTCTGTGGCTTCCTCAAATCCCGAGCACACGGCGTCTTCTCACCTGCGCCCAGGCACACCGCCGGCTCTGTGGCTTCCTCAAATCCCGAGCACACGGCGTCTTCTCACCTGCGCCCAGGCACACCGCCGGCTCTGTGGCTTCCTCAAATCCCGAGCACACGGCGTCTTCTCACCTGCGCCCAGGCACACCGCCGGCTCTGTGGCTTCCTCAAATCCCGAGCACACGGCGTCTTCTCACCTGCGCCCAGGCACACCGCCGGCTCTGTGGCTTCCTCAAATCCCGAGCACACTGCCCTGAGCACTCCCATGGGGTCCAGCTTGCCTGGTAGGGGAAGTGGGGAGCACGGGAGAGGTGGGAGAGGTGTTTGCAGGAAAGTTGGAGGAGGAGGCATGGCGTACGTGTACGTGATGTCCATATCTATGTTCAACTCATTGATTTCCTCACAAACCTGCAAGCTCTTCCTTTCAACACCCATGGCACTACTGCACTTTAAATATGGCTGCCCCTCTCTTTTTGTTATGTTCGTTTGACACCCCATGCCCCCCACTGCCCCCCACTGCCCCCCACTGCCCCCCACTGCCCCCCACCTCTCCCCCACCTCTGAACTGCCCCCCACCTCTCTCCTACCTCTGTATTGCCCCCAACCGATCCCCACCTCTGTACTGCGCGTTGTTGACCACCAGGGTGGGTTGAATTGTGACGTCACTGCGCCCATCCTTGCCCACCTGCGCGCATGGGAGGAGGAAGGGGGGGGGGGCGAGGGAGGGAGGGAAGAGAGGCAGAGGGGGGTGGGGGTGTGGGAGGTGGGGGTCTATTCTTTCTGGCCCACTCTTACCCAGCTGGGGCAATGCATATTTCACATAAATTTACATCCTTCAGTGTAGGTGTGCTTCGAAATTAAAATTAGAAAAAAAAATTATATATATCTATATATATATATATATCCCTTGCAATACCATTCGCTGAGCTGAGCTACTCTCTCCCCTCCCACACCCCCAAGCACCACGCACCTGCGCGTCCTCCTCCAGCTGCTGCTGCAGCAGAGGGGGCTGCCCTAGACATGGGCAAAAAAAATCGCATCGCATCGCATCGCATCGCATCGCATTTAATCGCGTTTTTGCGATGGCGATGTTTTTTTTTTTTTTTTTAATCATCGCGCAATGCGATGAATTAATATCGCGCGATTTAATTTAAATCGCATTTTAATCGCGCTTAAAAAACGCGATTTAAATGCGATATGCGATTTTTAAAAAATCGCGCGCGATATTGCACTGAAACCCACTCTGAAACCCACTACGAAACCACACTGGTTATTTGCACTCTAGCTTACGACTGCCCGTGAGTCAATTTCCCCGCAGCCATGGTTTTTTTCTGTTTTTTTGGGGTGTTTTTTAATTCTGTTTTAAAACGCGATGCGATTTAAAATCGCATTTTGCGATTTAATTAAATATCGCATGCGATTTATTAATACATCGCGGGTAAAATGCAATGTGCGATTTTTTTTTTTTGAAAAATAAATCGCGCGATGCGATTTAAAATCGCATCGCTTTTTTAAACATCGCACCTGCATGCGATGCGATTTAAATCGCAATCGCGTTTTGATCATGTCTAGGCTGCCCACATCCCGCCTTTCTTTATTCCCGCACGCACATCCTTCCCCATCCACCATTCCACCTCCTTTGATCCTGCACACATCCCCCCCCAATGCGCTCATCATGTCCCCCCTCTACCCGAGAGTACTGCCCACCCACCTGTGTGTCCTCTTGCTGCCGCTACAGGAGGGTTTTCCACATCCTGCGTGGAATCGCCCCCTATCATTCTGCCTTCCCGTCCCCCACAACCCCCAATGCGCTCACATCAAACCCCCCCCACCCCAAGCACCGCCCACCTGTGCGTCCCCCAGCTCTGCTCCCAGCTTTGCCCCCTGCAAAGCATGCTGTGCAATCCTGTGAAGCATGCAGCCTTGCGTCCTCGTGCTGCCGCTACAGGGAGGTTCTCCACCACATCCTGCATGGGATCGTCCCCCATCATTCTGCCTTCCCGGCGTATTTTGAGTCGACTCAAAATACGCATGAAGCGTGCAAGCCTGCGTCCTCGTGCTGCCGCTACAAGGAGGTTCTCCACCACATCCTGCGTGGAATCGCCCCCCATCATTCTGCCTTCCCTTCCCCCACGGAACCTCACACCCCCCCCAGCACTGCCCACCTGTGCGTCCCCCAACTTTGGCCCCGGTTAAGCTTGCTGTGAAAACCCGTGAAGCGTCCCAGCTTGGTTCCTCGTGCTGCCGCAGGAATGGTTGTGCACGTCCTGTGCTGAATTACATACACTTCCCCCACACTTGCAGCACTTATCCCTCCCCTCCCCCCCCAAAGCACCGCCCACCTGCTGGTCCTCCTGCTGCTGCAGCAGAGCGTTCTCCACATCCTGCGTTTGACCGTCCCACACCACTCTGCCTTCCCTTCCCGTCCCTCACATCCTCCCCAAAGCGCTCAGGTAAAACCCCCCTAGCACACGCACCTGCCGGTCCTCCTGCTGCTGCAGCAGAGCGTTCTCCACATCCTGTGTTGTATCACCCTGCCTTCCCTTCCCGCACGACCGCCAATGCGCCAACAACAACCACCCAAGCACCGCCCACCTGCTGGTCCTCCTGCTGCTGCAGCAGAGCGTTCTCAACATCCTGTGTTGGTTCGCCCCTTCACGCTGCCCATTCACTCACAACACCCCCCACCACTGCGATATATACAACACCCCTCCAAGCACCACGTAGTGCCCACCTGCTGGTCCTCCTGCTGCTGCAGCAGAGCGTTCTCCACATCCTGAGTGGGGTCGCCCACACACTCACGTACATTGCGCACGTCAATGCCTGGGAGGGGGAGTGGGGGAGAGTAGGGGCAACATTCAACTCAGCAGTCAGTCACACACACCGATTTGAGGCGCCTCATGATGCCCACACACACTCACGCACGCTGTGCACGTCAATGCCTGGGAGGGGGAGGGACGGTACCAAGGAGCAGGAGAGCACGCCACCAAGGGAGAGAACCAGGAAGAACCAGGGATAACCAGGGATAACCAGGGATAACCAGGGATAACCAGGGATAACCAGGGATAACCAGGTCAGAGAGACTCACCCAGGGACGTGAGAACGGTCTCAGCGCACACTGCATTGAACATCTTGTCCGCCATGCCGCACCGCTTCCTGAAGTCCGTCACATAGTCCCACCACACCCACGGCTTGCCGGTGTCATTCCCCCACTTCCACACGCACAGCTGCCGCAGGTTCTCCACCAGCACGTCCTTCCCATCGTACCCCTGCTCAAAGTCGCTCTCGGGGTCCGGCGCGCAGTACCGCCCCTTGTGAATGCACTGGTTCTTGCACGCGATCGAGTCGACCTCCTCGGGGGGGCAGTACCAGGTGATGTAGTGCGGCGTGAAGAGGGTATACCCGCCCTGCTCCAGGGTGATCGCCAGCCCCTTGAAATTGTCCAGGAAATTCGTCAAATCGTTGCATTTTGGCCCGCAAATATCGTTGCTGGTCCCCCAGAGCTCGTACTCGACTCTTTCGTCCGGGTGAGGGAGCGTTTCCCGCCAGTCCAGGTCAACCAGCACCATATTCCCCCCGGAGAGCGCCGAGCGGATCTTATCCCCCGTGGATTTCTCGATGATTGCGGAGGGGATGGTGATGTTGTTGACGTAGCGGTCCGTCTCCTCGTCGTCGATGGGCGCCTCCATGGTGATGAGCGACTCTACATCCGTGTCCGCTACGAGGACTGCTGATGCGCCCCCCAGCTGCGCGTACCACACCTTCTGGGTGAACAGGCACTCTGGAGGAGTGGGGTATTGGTTTGGGGGGGGGTTAGGTAAGGGAGGAGAGGGAGGATGAGCCTCCATGGTGATGAGCGCCTCTGTGTCCGTGTCCGCTACCAGCACTGCTGATGCGCCGCCCAACTGCGCGTACCACACCTTCTGGGTGAACAGGAACTCTGGGGGGTGGGATGTGGGGGAGGAAAAGGGGGGGAGTGGGGAGGAAAAGGGGGGGGGTGGGGAGGAAAAGGGGGGAGTGGGGAGGAAAAGGGGGGAGTGGGGAGGAAAAGGGGGGGAGTGGGGAGGAAAAGGGGGGAATATATTGCCAGGACACGAGCAGTGACCAGATAGGAGAGGACACATTGCCAGTGAGTGACCTATGTCGCAAGAAGTCGACTCGAAACACGTGGAAAGATTGTCCGCGACCTACATGACGAGAAAGAAAATGCGAGTGCCCTACTCGCTCCGTCAATCCCTAAGATGGTCCTCGCGGAGTGAAAGATTGTAAGTGAGTTGTATGAGGAGAGATTCTAAAAGTGACCAGGAATTTGTTGATAAGCTAGAACTTATAAGTAACCTAGAACTCACACGTGACCTAGAACTTATAACTAACCTAGAACTTGAACTTATGAGTGAATAACGTCCTCGGGCGATCACGAGAATGGTGGTTCGTTGGCACAGACAGACTCTTGGTAACGAATTCGGACGGTAACGTTACATCTCGGCTTGAGACGTCCCTAAACCGGGAGTACAACCGACCTACCTCCAGGGTCGAACTACTTCCTCGGTAATGGTGGGACGTTGACCGAATTCCTCCTTACCAGAATTCGGGCGGCGACAGCTTCTACCATCCTGTTTAAAGACGTCTCTAAACACTACGTACGAAGCGGCCTGACCGTGAGACTGGTGGGTCGTTGACCCACACCCTTCTTGAACAAGTCAGAGGGCGACAGTTTCGCGAATCCTGTACAAAGAAGTCTCTGAAGAAAGCGACCTACCTCCTCGGTCAACCATAAGGATGGTGGGTCGTTGGCCCACACCCTTCTTGAACGCTTCTGACGGCGACAGCTTCTTGCATCCCGCCTTGTTCTTCTGCATGTACACAATCACGCCTGATAGAGTGCCGCCGTATTGCGGCACTCCGAAGTTGGCGATTCCGCTGTCGTACGTCCCGCGAATGCTCTTCGGCTCGGTGATCTGGATGCTGTGCGTCTGCACGATGAACTTCGCCCGTGCGACAGCGAGCGACGAGCCGATGACGACAACGACGACGAGGAGGAACGTCGCAAGGCGACGGAGAGATTCCATGGCTGCTGTGACGACAGAAATCGTGTTTTAGGAGGTTTTTTTCTCGAGAATTCTCAAATTAAAGAGCTCTGAAGCATACGGAATACACAGCTCGTCCTTCTGGATGATGTTGACGATTCTCGAATAACAGAGCTCGCATGACACGTGGCACGAATCTAAGCAACGTTGCTCATCCGACGCCCTTGATGCGACACTCCGACACTCCTAAATGGGGAGCGACGCGACTAGGCTGTTGAGGGAACGAATCTGACTGAATTGCCGTGGTGGTGCAGGACGGCACCTGCAAACCTGACGGCCGAAACGTAAACGTTGACGGGAACAGAACAAGGGCCAGTCCTGGCACTGGTGATTTCGAGGGGAGCGCAGAGCGCAGCTTGTTCTCTACCGCTGGACAAGCCTTTTTGCCTGACCGTATTGTAAGTGTGGCATCCCAGAAATCAGGAAAGTCGGTCGTCAGCTCCGCATCTTGGTGAGGGGGAGGGAGATTGTGTGGTGCACTGCACACACTGAAAAGTGGCGCGATGGTGGCGCGCCTGTCATGGCGGACCACATGCGTTGTTCTCCGCCATGCCCGACTGCCAGCCGTCCGCGGTGTTGTTTGCACCTGCAATTGCAATAATTTTTATTACAAAGCCTACGACCATCAAACACGGAACAATTTTAGATTCTTCCAACTGGTATGACCTATGCAGTTCGATGAGTGCCTTGTACCACCCTTACGATATAGCGAAGGAAGCAATAGCTTCGGGTTTTGGAACTCGTGGCAGAGGGAGTGCCACGGCTGGTGTGGTGGTGTGGATAGCGTCCCCCGGGAAACTCGCGTGCGCCACGTCGAAATGTCTGTGCTTGGGATCATTCCTGCCCAATCAGTCGATGATGTGTCACAACGAAAAGTCGTCCTATCGCAGGCCGTATCAGGGTGTCGGACTTGAGAGTCTATGTGGCAGAAAGTGGTGGTCATTGATTTCAGAGTCAGCACGAACCAGCAGTGAGGCTAGGGGGGGGAGTCATCGCTCGCTGCACTGAGGCAGTGAGCGGGGCAGCCTCAATGCAATGACATGGAAGGGATGGAATCCATGATCCGCAATCTGCAGCCTGATTGGCTGACTGCTGCTTTTTCACGGATGTCAGTGAGCTGAGCTCTGGCCTAGCTGGTCGGTTCGGGTTGCTGCTGGTTGGAGGTAGGTAGCGCTGGTTCTCCCGTTTCCCGTGCACTTTTAGGAGGTTACGTGTTTCTCACAACCTGGCACTGCTTGTTTGTGAAGGCGCAGCCTCTACCGTTGCTGCTTGTCTGACATTTGCTTGCAGGCGAATCTGTCAGGTTGAAGTGGCCGCCTTCCTTCAGGGCTTCCTTGAAATTCCATCAAGCGTCTCTCGTTAAGAGCACGCTTTTATCAAAATCCTCGTTTTTTCTAGAAGCAGCCATGGCGCTTGCAACCAACGCCACTAACGCTGGCCTGACAGCGAGCGCGGAGCTTGCCTCCTCCCTCTCGCAACGCTCGGCTGCACCAGCGCCAGCTCAGCAGCTCGCCTTCGCGTCGTCCGCCGCATTCGGCGCGACGAAATCCACCCGCGTCAATGCCACGTCAGCCAACCGCGTGCAGCATCAAACCAGGACGAACCAGCCTGGAAACATCCGGTGCAAGGACTACCCGAAGCCGGATTTCGACTCCGAGCCGCAGAGAGAGGCTCAGCAACTCTCGGCCTCGTTTAAGAACCTCCCGCGGCCCGAGAAGCCGCTGAAGGTGGCTATTATCGGCGCCGGATTGGCTGGTCTGAGCGCGGCGAAGTACCTGGTGGATGCGGGCCACATCCCCACCGTCTATGAGGCGCGCGACGTGCTTGGCGGGAAGGTCGCCGCGTGGCAGGTGCGCTGGTCTTGTGGTTCACAGCAATGTCACACAGTATAGCAAGTCTCGCGACGTTTTCTTAGTTGCCACCCCTGCGCTGATATCACACTTTAGTCTTCTCGACACGGTTGTGAATGTTGTCTCTAAAAAAAGAAGAACAATTGATGCGTGGTGTTCGCAGGATGAGGATGGCGACTGGTACGAGACCGGCCTTCACATTTTCTTTGGAGCCTATCCGAACATGATGGAGGTGAGTGAGGGGCGTATGCACTGGAGCATATGCACCGGAGCACATGCACGGGAGCACATGCACTGGAGGATTGTCAGAAACCTTAAAGTTGAAGATAAGGAGGATATACGCGCGGTTAGTGTTCGTGGTTGACTTAGGCAGTAAAACTTTTCCGATCTTGGAATTCTACCCAAGCGAGCAGAGCACCACGTGCCAGTACCATATCGTGGCTCAAAACATAGCGCGTTATGCCGCGACAATCAAGAGAGCGCGGCGTGAAAAAAATTATCAGCAGTCATGCTAATCGAACAAGCTCATGTTTTGAGATGTTTCGAAACCCGTAATGCCGCGACGAACAAGGGAGTCCGGGGGAAAGTAATTTCTCAGTCGGCATGTTCATCGAACAAGCTCTCCCACTTCCCCGCTCCTTCTCAACCCATCGAGGAGCTGTTCAAGGAGCTGGGCATCGAGGATCGGCTGCAGTGGCAGGAGCACTCGATGATCTTCGCCATGCGATGTTAACTCGAAGCGTTCTTTGATCACTGCGCCCAATTTGCTCTCTCACGGTTATCCCTTCTCCTCTTCACCAGCTGTTCAAGGAGCTGGATATCGAGGACCGGCTGCAGTGGAAGGAGCACTCGATGATCTTCGCCATGCCCGACAAGCCCGGCGAGTTTTCCCGCTTCGACTTCCCCGACCTGCCCGCGCCCGCCAACGGCGTGGTGGCCATCCTGCGCAACAACGATATGCTCACGTGGCCCGAAAAGGTCCTCTTCGGGATCGGTCTTCTGCCCGCCATGATCCAGGTCAGCACTCCCGACAAGGGTTGTAGATTGCATTTCCTCCCCCCCTCCCTCCCCCCCCCTTCACCCGCACATGGTCACACATGTTACATCCGTTCTTCTGGTTACCTGGTTACTGCAGGGCCAATCGTACGTGGAGAAGCAGGACGGGCTGTCGATCTCGGACTGGATGCGCAAGCAGGGCGTGCCGGAGCGCGTGAACGAGGAGGTGTTCATCGCCATGGCCAAGGCGCTCAACTTCATCGACCCCTGGGAAATCTCCTCCACCGTCATCCTTACGGCTATGAACCGCTTCCTGCAGGTGCGTTTTCTGCGTGCTACACTGGTTACAAGTGATTACTGGTTACATGGTTACCAAGTCAAGGGGAGGTGTTCATCGCCATGGCCATGGCGCTCAACTTCATCGACCCCTGGGAAATCTCCTCCACCGTCGTCCTCACCGCCATGAACCGCTTCCTGCAGGTGGGTTCGCCACTTATCGCACTGGTTACATAAGCTAGACGGTCCCAGGGCCAGATCAGGTGTTACCGGCCATGGGAAATCTCCTCCACCGTTTTTCTTACTGCCATGAACCGCTTCCTCCAGGTGCGCTCGCCAGGTATAGCAATGGTTACGTCAGTTACATGGTTACAGGGATAATAGGTGCCATCGTCCTCTGGGGAATCTCCTCTACTGTCATCCTCACTGCGATAAACCGGCTCCTGCAGTTGCGTTGCCCCGTGTTTAAAGCGGTTATTGGACTATTCAGGGTCGACTCGTCTATGACCCCTCCTCCACTCCTGTACCCGCACCCCCTTCACCCCCTATCAGGAGACGCACGACTCCGAGATGACGTGCCTGGGGTTATTTAGAGCTGACTCAAATGCCTCTGGCCTCTCCTCCGCTCCTCGCATACCTTCTCTTCTCACCCCTTATCCCAATCACCCCTCCCCCAGGAGAGGCACGGCTCCAAGATGGCGTTCCTCAAATGTCTCTTACCTCTCCCCTCATCCTCCCATCCCCATCACCCTTCTCCCCCCGCAGGAGAGGCACGGCTCCAAGATGGCATTCCTGGACGGCCCGCCCACCACTCGCCTGTGCCAACCCATGGTGGACCACATCACCCAGGGCGGCGGACAGGTGAGGGATAACGAGAAGCATGAGGACTTGGGCGTGACTGTAGCGAGAGCGACTCTAGACCTATGGTCGACCACATCACCAAGGGCGGCGGACAGGTGAGGAGGGATGAGAAAAGTTTCAGCGTGACTTTAGAGTAGAGTTTAAGGCGCACCACTCGCTCGTGCCAGCCCATGTAACGAGGGAGGAGACAGTGAATGATCTTGGCAACTTCGTGGTTGACTTAGGAACGTTCACACAGCAGAGGGTGACGGCAGCTAGCCAGTAGATGTTAAATAGGGGACGAGTTATACGTGTTGCAGTGCTACGCAGAGCGGATATTGTAGATGATAGGGTCGGAAACGCTTCTCAAGAACAAGCACAGGCAGTAGCAGGTTTTACGGATTCTTATTCAGTGGCTTGGGGAGGCAGGTGAGGAGAGGAGAGTCTTGGTCCACCATGGGTTGGCCCGCCCACCACTCGCCTGTGCCAACCCATGGAGGAGAGGCAGTTGAGAGATGAGACTACAGCTGAGGTGCGAGAGGGGTGATGGGAGAGGCGGACGAGAGGAGGGCGATGGTAGAATGAGGGAGTTTTTTGCTTGAGTTATCTCCATACCTTTTCCTCCACTCTTCCTCCATGCCTTAACACAGCATCATTCATACCTGTTCCATACCTCCATTCCCCCACCACTCCTCCATACCTCATACCTCCCAGCACAGCCCCTATCCTCCTCACCCCGTCATACTAGAAAGCAGTTCCCAACCCCCTCCCCCCACCCTCCCCTTCCCCTCTCTCCCCCAGGTGCTGCTGGAGAAGCGACTGAAGAGCATCGAGGTGAACGACGACGGCTCGGTCAGGTGCCTCAAGTTCCAGGGCGGGGAGGAGGTCACCGCGGACGTGTACGTGTCCGCCATGCCAGTGGACCCCCTCAAGCTGCTGCTGCCACCTGCATGGAAGGCCGACCCCTTCTTCCAGAAGCTGGACGGGCTGGAGGGCGTGCCCGTGATCAACGTGCACCTCTGGTTCGACCGCAAGCTCACCACCGTGGACCACCTGCTGTTCTCGCGCTCCAAGCTGCTCTCCGTCTACGCCGACATGTCGGTGACCTGCAAGGGGTATGCGGACGAGAACGCGAGCATGCTGGAGCTGGTGTTTGCCCCGGCGAAGGACTGGATTGGGAGGAGCGATGAGGACATAGTGCATGCGACGATGGTGGAGCTGGAGCGGCTGTTCCCCACGGAGGTGCGGGCGGACGGCAGCAAGGCGAAGCTGAAGAAGAGCATCGTGGTGAAGACGCCGCGCTCCGTGTACAAGGCGGTCACCGGCCGGCAGGCGTACCGCCCCGGGCAGACCACCCCGATTTCCAACTTCTACCTCGCTGGCTGCTTCACCATGCAGGTGTGTGTGTGGGTGGTTCGGGTCTTGGTGTGTGGGGTTGTGTGGTGTCTGAGTGTTGGTGTGTTGGTGAGGGAGAGGTAATGAGGCCGCCTGAGACAGAGGGGGGGGCAGACCACCCGCATCCCCAATAATGTCTTCCTCGCTGGCTGCCTCACCATGCAGGTGCCAGGGTGTCAGACTGTGTCTGGCTTGTGTGAGTGTGTAGGGAGTGCGCAGGGGTGTGCGTTTGCTGGGGGTGTTTGGGCATTCCATTCTGCCACCCCCGCCTGAATCCATAGACGGAGCAGCCTTCCTCATCCTTCCTTCCTTACCCCTATGCCACCTCCTCTCATTTCCGCTTCGCAATCACATTTTCCCGCTGCCTCTCATTGTGTTTGCCTGTCTTTGATGTTCCATCTGCTGTGTCTGATACCCCGTCCCCTCGCACCCCCTCCCCCCTCCCCCCTGCTACAGAGGTACCTGGCGTCAATGGAGGGGGCCATCCTGTCAGGCAAGCAGTGCGCTGATCAGATCGCCAGCAGGGAGGCGGGGCGCAAGGCGCTCACGGGCATTTCAGTGGAGGAGTTCCTCAAGAGGCAACCAGAGTTGGCCACCGTTTCCCTTGTTGCGGCTCTTGGGGTTGCTGGCGCGGCTGCTGCTCTTCTTGTGGCCACAACAGCAGCTACTGCTTTGCCACTGTGAAACTTGGTACAATTTGTCCTGTTTGCTCTCAAATAACCCATTTTCTTATGAGACCCTATCAGCGATTGAGTTGCACGCAGTTCCTCATTTTTGTTTGGTGCGAATAGTTTAGTCGAGGTATTAATAAATTGTTCCTAATGCATTCCTGAAATCATATTTCGACCGTACTAGTAGCGTGACACCTATGGAAGGACGTGCGTGATGATGTCAGCAGTAGCGAGTCAACAAGTGTGTTGAGTGACCTGCTGGGGTTGCCCTTGAGATCCTCGGAGAAGGGCCACAGGTGCAGAGCCTGGGGGGCTATGGGCGCACTTACCCGCTATCTAACAAGCCCTTTTAACCCAGTGGTTAGTGACTAGGTTTCTGACATGGTATGAGAGCCAAAGGTCTTGGGTTCAACTCCCAGTGCCAGCGCTACAGAGGCGCTCGTGTCTTCCACCTATCCCAGCGGGGGGGGGGGGGGTATTGAGTGACCCGCTAGGGTTGCCCTTGAGATCCTGGGAGAAGGGCCACAGTATCAGAAAGAGAATTGAATAATTAGACAGAGAGAGTACACAAACATATACCTAAATGTTGTACTCTCTAGAAGGTGACCCTATACAGTCTATACAAACATGATAACTACACATGTTTGACACACCCCCTGGACTGCATAGGGGAATGTTCTAGACAAGCAGCTCAGGGAGGCACTACTAGTCCAGCCTCTGAGACAAGGGTCTAAAAGACCAGTCAGAAGGAGTACAGACAAGGCAAAAACTAGTACAGGGCGGCACTACTAGTCCAACCACTGTGAGAGGACACAAGTCCAGTCTGAGTGTATACATATATATATACGACAGTACAAAGTCAAGGCCCGAGTAAGTGAGAGACTACAGGAACCAGACCAAGCTGTACACAGTGCCGCTGATGATCAGCTGTGCGCAAGCGCCTTCGTAAAGATATCAGCTGTGTTGGCACCGGAGGCCAAGTGTACTACGCGAGCCTGGCGACGCTGCTGTAGCTCGCGCAGGAGGAAGTACCGCAGCTGGATGTGCTTCGCTCTGCCCTCGAGTCGAGGCTCCTGACACTGGAGAATCATGGCCCTGTTGTCAGCGTACAGGACCGGGGCAGAGCTAGGCCGCTCACCTAAGTCAGTGAGCAAGAAGGTCAGCCAGCGGAGCTCCTGTGCCGCCATGGCACCGGCGTAGATCTCAGCCTCACAGCTGGAATGGGCAACAGACGAGGAGCGGGTAGCTCTCCACGAGACAGCACCTGAGCCAAGGCTAAAGCAGTAGCCCTGGGAAGACCTGAGCGTCTCGGCGTCGTCTGCCCACGAAGCGTCTGTGTGTCCAGTAAGGACCACTGACCCACGTCCGCCTAGCACTAACCCCATGCCCGATGTACTTGCAAGATAACGCAAAACCCTCTTAGCGGCAGACCAGTGCTGAGGTCGGTGTCTGCCTGTGGCCACAAAACGAGCCAGGATGCTGAGAGGGTATGCGAGATCTGGGCGAGTGCAAGTCATCAGGTACATGAGGCAACCCACTAGCTCAGCGTAAGGACCACTGGGATCTACCGACTCCTCAGGAACTGGAGCGGAGAGTCTGTGGTCCAGAGGAAGAGGGGTGGGCTGTGCGGAGGAGAACTGAAGGCCGAACCTCTGAAGGACCTGGCGCACCAAGTGTGACTGAGTCAGGGTGATGGTGCGCGCGGCTCTGTCCCTGGAGATCTGCAAGCCAAGGTAACGGCGCAGCTCTCCAAGGTCAGTGCAGGTGTGTCTCTTCAGCAGCTCTGCCTTCACGGAGGCCAGTGCGTCCCTGTCAGCTGTGGCAAAGACCAGGTCGTCTACGTAGACGAGGATGTAGAACGGAGTCGAGCCAGCACGAACGAAGAGCGAGGGGTCTGCAGAGGACGGAAAGAACTGCAGGTCAGCAAGGGTAGCACGCAGCGTGTCATGCCACTCACGAGGCGCCTGGCGCAGGCCATAGACTGGGCGCCGCAGAAGCCACTGGGTCCCAGGGGGGAAGGTGCCAGTAAAGCCCTGAGGACGACGCAGGTAGACCTGCTCGTGAAGGCTGCCCTGAAGAAAGGCAGTGGAGAAGTCGAGGGAGTGAAGCTCGTAGTCACGCTGAGCCGCTACGTGTAGCAGAACCCGAAGAGTAGTCATCTTCGGGGTAGGAGCGAAAGTCTGAAAGAAGTCCACCCCCTCGCGCTGACTGAAGCCTCTAGCCACGTAACGCGCCTTGAACACAGGCGGCTCTCCAGGAGGGCGCTTCACCTTGAAGAGCCAACGGCCATCGACCACGTTCACCCCAGGTGGGGGAACTGCGTCGACGAAGGTGCCGGTGGATCTCCAAGATGCCATCTCCTGCTCCATGGCAGCTATCCACTGAGAGGCCCAGGGTCCCGAAACCGCCTCAGCGTATGTACGAGGGGTCGGGATGTCAAAAGCGTCTGGGTCACCCTCAGGGACTAGCAGCATGGAACAGAGATGGGGAGCAGCCTCGGACAGGAAAGCAAGCTCAAACTGGCGGTCCTCCAGGACGTCACTGCCGAGGGCAGGAGCACCCCCGACGGACGGAGGACAGACAGGGTCAGAGACCAGAGCGGAAGCGTAGTCAAGGCGGCGGGTAGAGGCGAAGTCAGCAACCGCAGCGACGAGGGCGTCAAGACTCGACACTGGAACAGACGGGTCGGTAACGAGAGAGGCAAGGACCCGAGGAACAAGAGGACGAGCGGCACGAAAGTAGTCAGACAGAGGAGGAGACGCAACGACAAGAGAAGACGGAGGAGGAGACGGGAGGAGGGGAGGACGAGACGCGTGGGAGCGGAGCAACATAGGGTGAGTGCGCGGGACGGGGGAGACAGGACGAGCACGGGAGGGGCGGCGAGACCAGACGTGAGAGGGCGGCGTCGGGTCAGGAGACAGAGGAGGGGACACGGGTGGGGAACGAGGGGGAAGACGAGCCGGGGACGAGTCCGGCGGAGGGAACACGGGGCCGTAGACGGGAAGAGGGGGAGACGGCCGGAGAGGAACTGGCGCAGGGTCAGGGGACGGAAGGCCGAGCAGACGGAGGGCGGACACCGGCGGGGACTGCTGCTGCGGCGACACAACACCAACACCAGAGCCACAAGCTGCGCGACGGCTACCTCCCGAACCCTCCACACCTGCACCCCCAGAAGGGACACCCCCAGAGCCCGAAACCCCACCAGCACCGGTACCACCCCCAGGCCCGCCGGGACAAGCCACGACGGGAGCCCCGGGACTAGTACCCACCTCAACGCCAGCACCCCCAGAGTCCACAAACGGCGGCAGCGACGACAGCGGCGGCGGCGGCGGCGGCTGCAGCGACGGCTGCGACGGCGGCGGCGGTGGAGACGACGGCAGCAGTAGCCGCGGCGACGGCGGCTGCGGAGGCGGTGGAGGAGGAGACACCGGGGGAGGGACAGACGGCGAGGACTGCGCCAAAGGACTACCAGAGTCAGAAGACTCGTCGACCGGAACGACCGACGGGAGGGCGGTGACGTGAGACACACCAGAGGGGGCCGGACGGGGGGGCGGGGGGGGGAGGGGCAGGGGCCACCAGGGAGGGAGGAACCAGGAACAGGGGGGGAGTAACCGGGGGACCACGGTGGGGAAAGCGGCGGTAGAAGGAGACGGACTCGTCAAAGGTGACGTCGCGAGAGTGAAAGAAACGGTGAGACGGCGGGTGGTAGAAGTGCCAGTCGGACGCGTCAAGGGGGAAACCGAGGAAGACGCAGGGGAGGGTGCGGGCAGTGAGCTTGTCCGTGCCAGAGGCACGAACATGAGCAAGGCAGCCCCAGACGTGGAACGCAGACGCGTCACCAGGGGACCCGGTCCACAGAAGGGTCGGCGAAACCTGCGGCCGCTGGGGGTGCGGCCACAGGTTAAGCTGGTGAGCGGCGTAGCGCACGGCGAACGGCCACAGAAAATGGGGTGCACCGGCGTGGATCATGGAGGTGCGAGCCACCTCCATGACCAAACCGATGCGTCGCTCAGCGACCCCATTCTGCTGCGGGGAGTCCGGCAGGGTAAACGTCTGGGTGATGCCCTCCGCACGACAGAAGCGACCAAGGACACCTGAGGCAAACTCGCCACCCCGGTCGGAGTGGAGGCACAAGGCAGGGAGACCGCGGTGGAGACGAGCAGAGACAAGCCAGGGGATGAGAACGTCAGGCACGTCGGCCTTCCGCTCCAGGGGAAAGACGGTGGTGTAACGTGTGAAGTTGTCGACAAGCACTAGGAAGAAGCGCTCGCGACGCGGCCCATGGACCGGGGCTGGGCCCCAGACGTCCATGTGCAGAGTCTGCAGGGGTGCGGTGGTAGGGGGAAAAGAGGAGGAGTGAGGGGCACGGCGGAGCCGGCCCTCGACACAAGGCGTGCACGGTGGGGCGGGGGAGGAGGGAAACTCAGGGAACGAACCGGGGAGACCAAGGACGAGACCGTGCTGGGACATGTGACGCAGACGCGGAGTGCAGGGTGACCAAGGCGGTGGTGCCAAAGGAGAGTCGGATGAGTGAGGGACCGACAGGAGCACGCAGCAGCAACCTGGGTGGACGCAGCTACCTGGGGGGAAGACCCAGCCGGGGACGTCGCGGTGTCAAGTGTGAACAGGCCGGACACCGGGTCCCGGGGGAAAGTGGTCAGGGGGGCACCAGTGGCGGCCTCGGTACAGACAGCATACCGCTCGTGACCAGGGAACGTAGTGGTGACGCCAAGGTCCTGGAGGCAGCCGACACCAACTAGGTTCCTGGAGAACGAGGGGATATGCAGACCGGTGAGCGAACCTGAAGGAACCGCCGGACAGGGAAGGGAGGTGGAACTGCGGGCAACGACGGGACCACCGGAGGGGTCAGCAAGAGTAACTGCAGCGGGAACAGGCAGCGGCGTCAGCGTCGTGGAGTCGCGGAAGAAACACCGGGAGGTGCCAGAGTCCAAGGTGAAGGAAAGTGCAGCAGTCGCGCGGGGCGACAGTGAAGCGGTGGAAGCACCGAGGCTAAGCAAAGCAGGAGATCCTACGCCTGACGCAGCAGGGGAGTCTACGCTAGGCACAGCTACACTAGGCAACACGGGGTAATAAGAGGGAAGCACACTAGAGTCATCGGCATACATCACATGCAAGGCTGCTACAATGGCATCCATGTCCAAGTCAAA